GGACAATAAAAATATATTAACGTATAGTATAGTAATATCGAAATGCATTTAACAAAAGAAAAAAAAAAAAAAAAAAAAAAAACTAAGCATATCTACTGGACATTTCACAGATTGAGTTCTAATGAGAGAGAACCGATAAAGAGATTTAGTTGCTTTGTGAGTCTGTTTCACTTTAAGTGTTATATAAATATTAGCATATAAGGAGAATTGTACCAACATCGGTTGGCCCATTTCAGTTAAGAGGTAAAACCCTTACCATTAATAATAGAGTCTGAATGAAATATGGCGAATTTCCAAACATGTCTTAGATGTGATACAAGGCCAATTGTACAGAGCACCTGTAAGGATCGAACTTATAGTTCAGTCATAATTGATTTAGCGAGACAAGCTTGCAAAATACGAGCAAAATCGTATGGAAAAAAAAAACAGACATGATCCTCGAAGGAATTTTCATACAACAAAAATTTACCATCTATAATTAAAAAAACAATTATAATTTAAGAACCCGAATACTCAAATGTATATAAAACAAACACACAAATACACACGCACGCGCGCACGAACGCGCACACATACACACACACACAGAGGTACACACGCACAAGTCAGACAGTGCCTAGGTGATAAAACACTTTGCCTACGTCACAGCACCCATTATTTTTCTATACTTACCCTGATGATCTCTTAAGAAAGTCAAAAGCTTGAATTATATTCCTTACAAAATGAACTTTAGACAATATCTGGCAAAATTTTCTCGTTATCTGAAAAGGATTATTCGAACTTTTGAAAAATCGATCAATAAAATTAGTCGACACAAAATGTTGCCTGAAATATCATTTCCTGTGCTAAGTTCACAGAATACATACATACATATATTTTTTAAAACATTAATCAGTTTGTCTGACGATCGCTAAAGCGTGAAACCTAGGGTCACAAACCCACATCTATCCAACCAAATATATTAGCTCTATCTCTGATATTGAGCGCTTTCTGATAAGTACCGCGCATATAATATATAAATAATTATACATATATATATTTATTTATATTTATATACACTTTTCACACACACACACACACACACACACACACACACACACACACACACACACACATATATATATATAGTGTGCGTGTGTATGTGTGTGCATGTGTGTGTATGTGCGTGCGTGCGTCGTGTGCATGTGCAGTTTTATTAGTCTTTTCGAACAGTGAAGCGATGCTGAAGCAATTAGAAGTCCTATCAGGGTGAATTATTGGCGGGCGCAATCTTAAGGCCATAAGATACAGTTTTGATAGCAGACACATAAAAGAAACTACAAGAACTCCTACAGATGGTAAAAGAAGAAAGCCAGAAAAAAGACTAAACATCAATTGCAAGAAAACAGAATGCATAGTTTCTAGAAAAAGGAACAGCACAACATGCAAATTACATATTGGAAGCATTCTGGGAATTCTTTTGTCCGTAGAAGTGACACATTTAAATACGGAGGCGCATTGGGATTGCGAAAGACCTTGCAAAAGCTGAGAAAATTATTAAAAACAGGAATATTTCGATAGAAAGAAATAGTACTGAAATGTTATGCAATATCAGCCCTCTTATACTAGATGCTGGAAATCTCCTGAAAGATGGAGAGACTTGAGTCACAGAAATGTGGTTCTACAGAATGATGCTGATAATATCATAGACTAATTATGGAAGCATAAATGACACTTATATATAACTTCAGGAAGAAAGAGTTGAAATGTCTTGGTTATATAATAAGAGAGAGCTTGGAAAATCTGATACTCACAAGAAAGATTGAAGGCAAGGGGAAGACATGAAAACAAAGCATAACCTACATGGCGACCTTGAGTAAATGGATTTCATAAGAGAATTTAGGAGAGATAACACAAAGACAGTATTTATTCAGTGTCACAGAAGACAGAAAATTCTGGAGAGCCATTATCGCCTACGTCATGAAGGGACACAGTACATAGAAAAAAAGAAGATTGAAAAGCAACATAAGCTGATGATATCGTAATTGAATTTTCAAACATTTGTGCAAAGTGTAGAAAAATGGGTATGTAGTTTCGACTTCTAATAAGAAGTCAATTTTCGTTAATAAAACTTTTGCTTTTCCAGGCAGATAGACGTTACTTACACTTTTTAAATAGAAATAGAAATTTCTATTCAAATACATGCATCGATTAAAATAACTTTTATAATAATTATACACGAACACGTATGCATATAAACATACATAGACACAATACATATATATGTATGTATATATACCTCGATAAAAGGCAACAACAAATGAAAAAACGGTTTTTATTGATATATGAGCAATTAGCTTTTCCAGCTATTAGATAGGAATATTAATAAAATTATATAAATTTTGTTTAAGCACATATATCTGATACATTTATATATGTTTAAAAACCCTGCGCTTAAATCAGACAATAAAAGGGAAAAATTATGTAATTGTAGAAACCTAGAAGACTGCCCATTAGAAAATAAATGCTGCATTAAATCTGTGGTACACCAATGTACTATATCATCCACTGAGAGTCCTAGCACTAATATGATATACATTGGGTCCACGAAGAATGATTTTAAAGATAGATGGAGGCAGCATAAGTGCTCTTTCAATAATATAAATAAAAGAAATCAGACTTCCCTATCTAAATATTTTTGGCATCTGAAAGAAACAAATAGGACACCTAAAGTAAAATGGAGAATTATAAAAAGGGCTAGAACATGTAAAACTTGGGATGACCCATGCCCTTTGTGCCTCCATGAGAAATTGCACATTATTAAGCTTCTAAATAATAATAATAATCTATTAAACAATAGACATGAGTTAACGGTTTTTTGTCGACATCATCAGATTTATGGTTTGAATAATTAGCTAAAAACAAGCATACAATATAATAACTTGATTAATCCATAGCCCAATCATCAGATTCATGGTCTGAATAATTAGCTAAGAACAAGCATACAATATAATAACTTTCATAATCCATAGCCCAAATAAATAGTTTAAATACCCTACAAAAAAGATAACCGTTTATGAAGTCGTCAAAAAACAAACGTTACGGCAGTTTTTTTTATATGCACAAATCCCTTTAAACATAAAAAAATAAAATAAAAAAATAAATAAATCTCCATAGACACGCATACCAGACAAGGGTGAATACATCTTCCGTTTCAAATTTAGACACGCCCACCTTTCTCTGACTTGACATCTATGAAAGTAACTCTATACTGACACTTATTATTAACACCCTACCCAATTTAAACAATTCGCCCTAGCTGTTACCATGGACATTTTGATTTCAATTATTAAAACACGTAGATTTCAGAAATACGTTATTCCAAAAACAATTTCGCATGAAGATGGAACAGAGCTTACTTTAACTCAATTTAATTCAAATAATTATATTGAAGTTTTCGGCTCTTGTTTTGAAACATGAGACCTCTTATGTCACGAGTTGAAATCATATTTTTAAACAAATAATTATATATATATATATATATATATATATATATATATATATATATATATATATATATATAAATGTATATTTGTTAATATATATATATACATATATATATTAAAATATACATAATATCTTACATTATATACATATAAAATTAATTATATTTCTTTGTAATCAGTGATTAATATATATAAAACAAAATATCAATAATATACTATAGGTACTATATATATATATATATATATATATATATATATATATATATAGTGTACGACTGGAGATAAGTATACACACACATATATATAGCGTACGATTGGAGATAAATATACACACACACACACACACACACACACACACACACATATATATATATATATATATCTTTGTTTAAATATTAATCGCATGGATACGGTCAACCAAAAGGAATGTACTATTTCAGTACAAATCGTCTATATTGAAAATAGGCTGCAAATAATAAAAATGTTCAGATAACGATAAAGTTTTACCAATATCTAAAGCATTTCGATATACCTAAAGCAATATTGCTAGTGTAAATCTACGTAATATCACGTAAATAATTGGCTTCCCTCAATGTTCCTTTTCTTAAGAAAGAAAACCTAGAAAAGTATTATTATATTTCTATGCTACATATGAGAAAATGATAATATTCCAGTTCTTTTTTATTTATTTGTAAAAACAATATTTTTCCCTTCTAGCTTGTAATAAATGAGCTCAAATTCTTCAGTATTGGGATTTCTTTCACTATTTCTAACGACTTCCGGTGGTTTGTTGAAGGAAATAGCCAACCGTCCGCAAATAAGCAATGGGAGGTAATTTTCCCATGCCATAAAAAAACGGAGAACTAGGATATCCGAACCGGAAGATCTGCCAGTATTTTTGCATTTTTCCTTGCTTGTCTGAATGATGTGAGCCTCGTTCCCAGCCTCTAAGGATTGTACGATCGATTAATACCTATAAAGTGTTCGCAGAAGACGGAAATTGGAATATAATAGTCCTCTCCATGTGGGACAAACTGATGGTCTTCATTTACTGAGAAAAATAATATCTGATGTGTAAAGGAACGATTTGAATGCATGAACATAAAATTAAAAGGGGATGACTTTTCAGTGTCTATATGCAATAAAAATCCATAGCTGCCTACTTTGGCACTCTAGGCAACAAGCAAGTGTCTGCTGGTATAATGTGTTCAGTACTCCCCTGAGGATCATTACTATGGCCTTTGTGCCAGACTGTGCTATATTTGGAAAATAAATATTTTATTTATTTCTAAAACCCAAAAGATGCAATCATAACAGGAAACGTTCTAGTTTCAAGTGACACATTTTTCCCTATTTCATAATCCGATTTTTGTAATAACTTTTTAAAAGCTTTTGCGAATACGATCATCATCATCATCATCATCATCATCATCATCATAATCATCATCATTTACTACTACTACTACTACATATGCTCAAGCTGCTGCTATCACTACAGTAGCCGTGGCGTAAAAAATGACGGTTTATTTTTTATCTACAGCAGTTATGTTGTTCAAAACGGGCCTCAGTGACCTGAGGATTATTTCCTCCGCGAACAAATTTTGTGCATTTCTTGCATTTGTCATAACACCAGGATTTTCTCATTTCTCCTTTACTTGCGTGAGTCTTAAGTTTCTTGAGGACTTGCTTCCATTCACATTCTCATATTTTCTCTTCTTGCGTTAACTTTTTCCTGTTTCATTTCACGTGCTTTGTCCGCCCTCCCTCCTAGGTCTGCTCTCCTTTTACCCTTTCTTTGCCTCCCTAGTTCACCTCTGAGCATCGCATCATCTGGCTTGTGTTCTTATTTCTTCGCGGTGTTCTTACGATGCCTATCAGCCTTTTCGCCCTGGACAGGCGTAATTGCTGCTTTCGTCTTCGCAACCGTTCTTATCTCCTCCTTTTCATTTTATGATGTTCACTGGACAAAAATTAGTTAAATGCACAAAACAATGTAGAATATAGGGACATTACTTAAATTTGATTCTACGTTTATAGAGCAAGTTTATGTTGAATCTTTGATACCAATTAATAAGTTATGTTCCATGCATGATACGCATTTAGGCGATTATGTATCTTTCGACATATAACTGACGAAGCAGATTTTTTCCCGCAGTAGGTTGCCATTTCTTTCTTCTGCAGTAGATCAGTTGCCACTCAAGAACTCGGTCTGTCTTTCTATTTACCCATAGCTGGGTGAAGAAGAAGAGGATTTATACTTTTCCCAAGTGTATTAGCACGTAAATGAATGTAATGGAATTCGAACTCGGCTCGGTGGAATAATGGATAGCGGCTCGGATTGAAGAATCAAAGAGCCGAATTCGAATTCCAGTCGAATCCATTACACTCCCTTACGTGGAAAAGATATTAATCATTTTCTTCTCCCCACCAAGCTATGGGTGAATAGCAGGACAGGCCAGGTTCTATAGCGTTAGATGCTCTACCACAGAAAGAAATGGCAACCTTCTGCGGGAAAAAAAATCAGCCTCGTCAGTCATGTATCGAAAGATACATGATCGCCTAAGCGTGTATCCCGCATGGCACATAACTGAATACCAATAAAAAACTAAAATGTATTTAAATAATACGAGAACCGGTAATTACATCTACAAAAATGATACTAAATTTATCACTTAATGGTTATTCAATTATATATTTAAAGGGTAATTGTTGAATTGAGGGCACCATAATTCATATAGATAAAATTTTCTGTTGCAACATTAATAAAAACTCCGTGATCAACTTGTTTCAATGCAATTTTTACTTGTAAATAAATGTTTATTATTACCGTTTGTATTTCTTATTAGGCTGTAAGATGGGACGGGAGATATATAAATAAATGCCTTTTGATTGATATTATATCGTTTGACTGATGATGATTGATGACTAAATTCTTTATGCTATCTAACGTTGTGTGACGTCCCCCGGTGTCGCCAAATGTGACGTCTGCCTGGCCGCGCCCGCCGTGCTGTCCTGGTCGCGGCGACAATTGTGACGTCACCCCGTCTGTCTCCGCGCCGTCGCCGTCCTATCCTGTCCCGTGACGATATGTGACTTGGTATTGGTCGCGGCACCAAATGTGACGTTCTAACCCTTTGCTGATTCGGATGGGAATCTGGTAAGATTCGGTATCAGCCTTGTCGTTCCCAGCCCGCCTCCAACGTCTGGTTACTGAAGTAACTGTTTTGCTTTCTAGTCTAACCTACCCACGTTGTGATTTGATCTTAGGTAGACGAAATCAATCAGTCGCCGGGCCGTAATGCAAGCTGAGTCCGGACAAGGGTAATATCACACAAGTATATGTAAAAGAAAATAAAGTAATAACTCGAAAAGTTCAAATGTGTTAAAAAATGATAACAATATTTCATATCTGGTTGCTGAATACATGACTGATTCTTTCTCCCAAACCGCTATATGGATTCGTGACACTTTGTGTTTGTTAGGCGAGTCTTAACATCTTAAGTTATTTCTTCTTTAAGAAACTGATTCTTGGTGTATCTTCAGGCGATATTCGTAAAACTTGTTTTGGTGGTGTGAGTCTAAGTCGTTCTTCAAAAATAAATTGTTCTTGGTTAGAAGTTGAGGTCGTGATTGCGTGGGATCTTTCAATCAGGCTCCTGCGAAGCGGGTCTCACTCTGCAACTCCAAACCAACTGCTCAGCTGCGAACTGCTTAATTCAACTGCCGCAACTCGTTGCAACTCTGCTTATATGGACGCCGACCAAAACCGGGGTGGGTCTGTCGGGCTTTGAGGTTCCTTGATAATTCTAAATCCGCATTCAGGGTTTTTCTTTGTTCTCGGTAAGGAAGAATTATTAATTTCCATTTTGGGAAGTCTTTTGTCCTCCCAAATTCGTCCTTTCTCATATTGGTATCTCACCCATACCCTCAGAGGGTGTCAACGGGTTTCCCTCTCTCTCACAGTGGAATCTCACACCGATCCCTTCTGAGGGGCGTCAACAAGCCTCCCTTCCTTCTTCACATGATTACCTTCGCCTACCGCTCACGCTACCATTCAGCCAATGGGGGCTCAGCGGCGTAGGTGAGGCCGGACTAGGCTCGGTTTAAAAAATCTTGCTCAATGAAAAAAAAATTATCTTCCTTTTTCTTTTTCTTTTCTTTCTTTTTCTTCTTCTCGGCAACAAATCCTTAGACTCTTATCTTAATCGAAAGTCACCTAGACTTTATCAATCGAGACCTTCGCCAAACAAGTGGGTGGTCATCTGGCGATATCCACAGCCAATTATTCGTTCTGATAAAATAATTTTGCTATCATGGCCAGCTCCTGACACAAAACAGGTGCCTTTTCCAAACGACATCTCCGTAGATAGCAGTCTTTCTTTCTTTGTAACTGGGGTGGTCCAACGGACAATTTGTTTTTCGGTCAGCGCGTGCTTAATTAATTTTTATCTCTCAGTTTCTCTTTCGTAGGCCACTTGACCGACTTGAAACCTTCACAATTGCCATGACAGACGGCTATCTCTTAGTAGCAGTAGAGCCCGGCGTTGCCCGGGGATATAACAGTAAGAGATAGATCAAGTATCCACCATCATAAAGACTGAAAAATAAAATTGACAAAGATTATTGTTTAAGGTTGACGGACTCGCATGTCTGAATTAGTTGTTTTTTTTTGTTTTTTTTTTACGAATTGGTCAAACCCAAACTCAAACTAAAACTTTGTTTTCAATGGTTATGAGTCTAGCGATTGAATAGAATTTTATTATAAACAATTGTCTTGTAAATGGAATTTTTAAAGCATTCTGAATGTAAAAATAAAGAAAAAAGTGTGTAAGACAATAAGAAACACTACATGCCAAAAAAAAAAAGTGAAGTTTTGTTTTATCGGCTGAAAAATATAGGAAATCCGATCCCATATTTAAAGGAACCTACGCACACAAAGAACCCGATGTGAGTTGTCCCCCTTCCATTTTCACGATGTCTCTTAAACGTGTTTTCAAATTGATTTTGTGCAAAAACAATTATATTTTTCCCATTTTTGGCGCTGTTAGAACCACCACAAGGTAATTTTATGTAGTCCTGTGAAGTTTTGTTGAAATCGGTTGAAATATAGGAAATCCGATCCAATATATAAACGTTACACACACACACACACACACACACACACACACACACACACACACACACACACACACACAATCTGCGTTTTACAATAAGTAAGATTCGGTGTGTCATCATAAATCAAACTAAATCCGGTGCCTTACTCTTTTCAACAATGAAAATAAAATCTTTCCACTTTGTTAAAAAAAAAAATAACATCGCTTAGTATGCTTTTCGTGATGGCTCCTTATCACCTAAATTTTATTCTCGCCTTTTCTTTTTTTCTTTCTTTCTCGCAACCCTAAATAGTGTCACAGTTGTCAAGAAAATATTGTTATCTCCCTTTATGCTGAAAAATATATAGTTATCCCCGTTTCATAAATGGAACAGAAAATATATGAATAAATACACATGGATAATTATTATGTGGTTTGATTATTTTCGGTGTAGTATCGTATGCAAATTAGATAGACAAGTATAAGTAGAGAACAACTAGCGAACATAGAGTGGCTATGCCTAGCAAACCCGGTTGTTTTCAGGACACGGAGAACTGTACTATGACTACTACTACACAGAAAAATATGCAAAGCATAACAATAGGGAAATTTGTACTCTCGATCAAACTAACATAAAACTAATATTTAACAGTGCTCAGTTGCAATTTTCACTGTTATCATTGCATGTTTTTTACAAGAGCTCATATTGTAATTTTCGCTGTTATTATTGCTTTTCTCAGACACTCCTTATTACTGGTTCCCATATTGTATTTATTTCTATACTTATTCGGCTCAGGAAATTTTTGTGGACTAGCATATATGCTGATACTTTATGTTTACGAATTTTCCAATGATGTTCTTTGTTTATGATTTTAATCTGATCCAAAAAAGATAACAGCGGAAATTGCAATATGAACACTGGTAAAAATGATTGCTGATGACATTAAGTTTATAAATCCCAGAAATTCATACATTAAGGAGACATGGCACAGTGGATGAAGGCGTTGGTTAGATCCAGTGACAGAACCCAAAGAGTTGTGAGTTCAATACCTGGTTAAGGTAGTGAAGGACTTGGAGAGGGGAATTAATAGGAAATAACTGATATCAATTAGACATGGAGCGTGGAAATAGAACAGTTTAACACAGCGAGCGAAATAAAGGGTTCAATTCGACATTTCAACCACCCGAAGAAGGCCGAAGCATACATCGGCCGAATCGTTGTGATAAATATGGCAACAAAGAATTGTCCGAATAATGTAAATAGTGTAATATTTATCTTCTTCGGAACGGTCATACGGATTTTTGAACTGATTCAGTTTTCTTTGCAAATCGCTAAATGAAGGTTGTCCTGAACGGCTACTGTTTTAGACCTTTTTCTTCTAATGCAGGTCTACGCTAAGACCCTAAACTTAAAGCGACTTTGTCCTTAATTTTCATCAATGACATTTCTAGTGACATCAGTTCTCAAATTAGTATCTATACTGATGGCACAACCATTTACCTCTGTCTGGATAGTAAGTGTGATCGGTTCGATAAAGCCAAATTGGCAGCTAATCTAAAACATGAGCAACAGAATGTCGTTAATTGGGGCAAGGATGAGCTTGTTAACTGTAATACCCACAAAACGAAACTTCTAACTGCTATTCATCTGAGATACTCATTTCTGACTCCAATCAGCATGTCTGGAGCTAACCACAAGAAGACTGGTTCGCAGCACCTTCTCGGACTAACATTTTCGGCTGATATGAAATGGAAAGATTATATAGATTCCATTGTTAAGTCTGCTGCTAAGAAAGTTGGTTAACTGTGTCGTTGCTTGACAATTATTATTAGCAGAATCTATCTTACATATTTATAAGTCT